TGCCTATACGAAAGATAAACAACCTTAAAAATCCGGAAGAGGAAATTCCTCCCCTAACATTAGAAAAGGTTTTTACAGCCTCAAATATTCAAAACCCAAAGAAAAAAACAACTGCAATATGGCTGCATATTACGATTATATATGAAATTTGGTTATGGTACACACAAGCCAGATGGGGTAATAACCTTATCTCGAAAAATATAATTGGACAAATCACAACATTTAGAATTCAGAAAAGTCTCAAAGTCTTAAACAAGATGCAAGAAAACAAATACAAAAAAAAAATAGTTGCCTATTTAAATATTAATGTATAATTGTAAATAGATAAATCTACTACTTGTAATTATAATAAAGTACGCCAATTCACATTTTGAAAAAAAAAATATATATATATATATATATAAATTTGTCCTATAGCTTAGATTGATATTAACGAGGTTGATATTAATGAGAGTTGACTGTATAGTGAACTTTTATATACTGAATCCGAACTTTTCTTTACTAGCTAATAACTATCTATGTACACACCAGTATTTAAAATTCAAAAAAAAATTTACGTGCACAAATGTATTTTGTGCATCTTTTTTTAAAAATTTTACATGCATACTTAATGGATTTTTAAAAAATTCAAAAAATTCAAAAAAAAATTCGTGCACATGTGCATCTTGTGCACGCCAATTTTAAACACTGGTACACACTTCGGTATAACAAACTATTTGACACTGATTCCGAAATATTTCGAACGGGAGCAAGTTTAGGGCAGAATTTAGAAGGTGTACTGACCCGTTGAGATCCTACACGATTTTATTGGTTAGTTCTGTATACCGAACTGTCCGGTATAGAATAAACCATATAACGAACTCACAATACCGAACAAAATCTCCCAACATATGCAGTTCGGTATATCCGGAGTCGACTGTATATAAAATTTTATACCAAAATTTATATATATTTAATTTATATAATTTTTTATATATCCAATTTATCAAATTGCCAACTCTGTACTGTATGTAATAGCAATTAAAAAAAATATATTGTGATATATTTTATCTTAAATAAATTCTAAAAATATTACAAAAAAAAAATCCGATCCAAATTATATTTGGTTAAAATTTATTGAATATGTTTATTTGACCAATAAATAATATTAAACCTTTTAGAAAATCTTATTAATCTAATAAATAAAATTTTTTGTGCATCACAAATATGTTTACCTTTTTAATTTCACAATTTAATTAAGAGAAAATATTATCATTAATGCTTACAATTTCTTTTTCGAACAATACTCTAATAATTAGATCAGCAAGTATCTATTCGAACAATAATGATAATTTAAGTTTCACAACGAATAATAGGCATTATTCTAATAAGTCTGCTTATTCGAACAAAATTTGTTTTATTCATTAAATGATTATCTAGGTTATATACATATATGTAAAAAAAAATATCGTAGCAAGATTGGGCCCATTTCTAGAACCATTAGTAAAAATATAATGCTTTGTATAAGCAGATTTGATGCTAAACATTTATTAATAATAATTGATTAGCATTTAAAGCACGTATAACTTTTCTGGATTTTGTGACAAGTAAACATGATAACAGGTAACTCGTTTTGGAGACGTTACTGACTGTACATTTTATTCAATATTGAGAGGCATAGAAAAAACGATATATAATTCCTTATATACGGATTGTAGGTAGCAAAAGGATATGTAAAGGGACAGGAAACCGATGGAAACAATTGCTTTTAAATATAACTCGAATGTCGACAAATCCTTCGAAGTATCCATATAATCTATAAAAAGATGCGGTTTCTCAATGTAAAAGATATCGTTGAAACAGATAATAGACATGCAAATATAGTAGACCACTGAATGTTGGTAATAATGGACATATGAAATAGCTAATACCTATTCTATTTAGCGCTGATTGCTATATTGCTTGAACTGTGCCATTAAGTCTGTCACATTAGAGGCAGTAGAAATTGTAGTTGAAAATTGTGGTACATTGGAATTAATATGTTGAGATTGATGCTGAGCTAGGGACAACCCATTAGGTGTAATGGGATTAGGAGGAACGATACTGGGAGGTTGGCCCACCATCGGGGCATTATAGGGTGAAGGTGGTGGGCCAAGGTTAGGTGCCATATGTGGGGGCACAGGCATAAAAGGAGGTTGGTTTGGAAGCCCGGTGTTTTGGGGTGCAAGTTGTCTAAGTAACTGTTGAACATCGATGTTTTGAGGCTGTTGTTGATTCAACAAACCTGGATGAGAAGGTTGAATACTTCCTAATGGAATCATCGGCATTGGTTGAATCCCCTGGTTAGGATTAGTGGGGGGTTGTTGTTGTTGAAGAGTCCCAAGAAGATTTGCGAGTGCGGCAAAATTAACGTTACTTAAAGATATTGGATGAAGTCCAGCTGGACCTGGCTGTCCTTGTTGTGATTGTGATAAATTTGGTTGACCACTAAGCAATAAGTTATCTGGCGGTCTAAGATCGCCCTGCCGTTGCAGAATACGAGTTCTCAATAAAAGGTTAACTGCTTCGTCAACTTTAATATTATTGTATTCTTAACGGTATAAAATGTTTTGATATACATTTAATAACAATAATTGCAACAAAATATTGCAAGAACATCTTTAATGAATACTGACCATCATATTTGACATTATCTCTTACTCGAGATTGATCGAATATTTGCATATTTACACGACCGTTTATCGCATTGTGCCGTTCCATAAAAACAACCGCATGAACTCCTTCAACAATCATTTGGCGAATAACAGCTTGAATATGAAGTTTTCGAGATAAATGAAGGGTATGAACAGTGATATTTGCTTCGCGGAAAGAACTTTCTACTTGCCAAAGAAAATTACTATTTTGTAAAAATGGGATAGTACATTTTAATTGAAGTTTCTTCTGGAGACTGCCATTGAAAAAAACCGCGTCGTATTGAATAAGTTACAGACAAAAGACACACCGTTCCACTTCTTCAAGTACGATTATTTGACATTCAGGGACATCATTTCCTTGGCGTCGAGGTAAGGGAAACTCATCATCAGGTTCATCATGAGATTGGGATCGATAAGGATGGTCACGACTTTGTCTTCGTTCCATATAATCCCTAGAGGGGATTCTGTAGGGCTTTGAACGTTGTGCATATCTTTCATCGCGATGCTCATCACGATATGAACTACGACGGTATCCTCTATCGTCCCGAGGTCGATATTCATGCTCATCTTTATAATCACCACGATATTCTTGTGGAGAACGATAATCCCTCTGATCAGAATATTCGTAGCCACCTCTTGAATCATATGAAGCACGACGGTCAAACTTATAATCAGTATTCCGACGATCGTAATCATCATATCGACGATCTGGATAAGATTGACCTTGATGCCCTCGCCCCGGAGGATAATCACGATCATTCTGGTACCAATCTTCCTTACATCCTCTTTGATTCCAATGTTTTTCTTGCCGGTTGGCAAACGAAGGTTTGGACCCATCCTCATTCGGTGGTATATGATGCCATGGCTTACCATGGGAGACTTCCAAACCTAATCGTTCACGTACAAGTAAATTATAAGGCTAGCCATTTGCATTTTTCCAAGTACCGATCAAAATACTTGCCTAACTTCAATCCATGCAAAACTCTACCGTTTTCCTTCTCAATAGCTTTTTTAACACTTTCTGGGTTATTATATTGAACAAAACCAAAACTATTTTTTATAGATATTTGCAAGATTTCCCCATGAGGGGAAAAAATGTCGTAAAGTTCTTTTTTTGAAGTGGAATGCGTAGACAAATTGCCTAAAAATAAACGTGATCCAGATGGCAAGGCCTGAAAATCTGCATCGGTTAATTTAGGCAGATTAAATGGAATTTTATGGTCAGATTTTTCATTATCAGCTTGAGAACTTGGGGAACGACGGCCTCGCCATCTACGAGGTTCTTTGCCATAATTATATTCTGTAGAATTATTAACAGAATTATCCCATGAAGGTGCGTTTTCAGTAGCATTAGGATTTGAACTTGGGCCAAATTCACAATGTGAAGTATCACCAGTAGTAGCAACATTATTTGGGACGTCAAAAAGATCTGCTGCTTTTGCGCGAAAAGATTTGGAAATTGAATCTTGATCAATTTGAGAAACGAGAATATCATCTGTATCCATATTGTTATTTTCACTTTGATTAGTTAATCCAATTTTAGGTAATGATTGCTCAAGGGATGGTTGCGGAATATTAGATAACTCTGGCGTTGGAGATTGACAATCTGGTTCGACAGATTGTTCAAGCGAAACCTGGTTCTGTATAGTATTATTTTCAGAGATGGATGAAGGCATTTTTGTCTGATTTTGTGGCATATCTATCTCTATCACACACAAACTCGGTGGAGTATTAACTACTCCTTCACCGAGAACAGTAACTATTTCTTCTTGAACAGAATCATGGTTTGTTTCACCAGTTGATTCCTGTTTGTAGTTAGTTAATTTATCATCCTCTTGAGAGCCTTTATTAAGTTGCTCTTCGCTTTGATCATGAGGTACAACATTCTCTTCAATTATTTGAGTAAAACTGTGAGACGTTGGTTGTTCTTTCGTTATGTTGTCACGAAACTCTTCATGATTTAAAGGTTGTTCAATAGAATCTGTCCGATTCTCTTCATGATTTAAAGGTTGTTCAATAGAATCTGTCCGATTCTCAACCGATGGTAGGTTAAAAGACGTTGACGTATTCATGGGTGTCGAAAATATTTTGCTCTTGGCGTAAATTTAAATGGCAAAAATGATTTTTGACAGCCAAATCGTAAATAATTTAGTATGTCGAAAATATTTTAGTATGCCGAAAATATTTCTGTATGTCGAAAATATTCTAAATTACGCAGATCAGTATGGTATAGCAGATAGGTGAGCCAATCCGTACGTACGTACGTACGTACGTATAGTACAGGCCAATTTTTAGTCACCCGATTTGCCACATTACTTGTATATAGTAAAAATAAGTTAGCTATATTTTTTTTTACTAAGACAATATATTTTTTCCTCCTAAATAAACTTGTTCGTATAAAATTTTACATGCCATGCATCTGTCAAAATGCGTTCTTTGACCTTTTACTAACAGCTAAGTGAAAAATTGGATTAACCTCTTGTAAAAAAATTTTTTTACATAAAATTAATTAAAATTTTCACTTAGTAAAAGGTCTGAAAACACCATATACGTACTTACATTACTTAAGAGATACGTAAAAATAGATTGTCATAGTAAAAAAGTTGCAACATTTGTATATAGCTAACTTATTTTTTTTACTAAGTAAACTTATTCAGAGGATAAATTTATATGTAATTCTTACTTAATAAATACTCGTTTTTGATGAAGTTACGTTTTCAAATTCCTTAATTTATGCAAAAACATATGTTTTTACTATGATTTGCTATAAATGCCCGTAGCCAGGGTTGGCAATGGAGTTCAATAGAGTCCAATGGAGCTGCGAATGGAACCAATGGAGCTCTGAATGAAGCAATGGATGCTAGTTTTTTGAGCTCCATTCGCTCCATTGTCAACCCTCCCACAAAAAATTTTCCGGAACGTGATTTTTAGCCAATTAAATTGAGGGATCGGGTGTAACGTGAAAATCACGCATTTTGATAACTCGAAATTTTGGTTATGAAATTGCCTTTTGCGTTTTAACAAAAAAATTCCTTGCGAAATATTAGTATAAATTATGCTTCTCTTTTGGCCTTATTCCTAACCTTAGAGATGTGGCTTATTGATTTAACAATCTTTCGCTTAATTTGTTAGTTTTGATTTACGTTACACCTGATCCTTCAATATACAGTGCCCAACAAAAGTTTCCCCACACCTCTAACTCGGCACAGAGGTAAGGTAAGTAAAAATTTTTTTTTTTATTTCAAAATACATTGCATTACAAGAAAAATCAATGCATTGTATAATTGCCCTCAGCTTCAATTAGGGCTTCTACATGATCTTTCATACTTCTAACTAAATTTTTTATATATTTTTTAGATAAGCTATTCCATTCTCTTGTTATTTTACTCTTTAAATGACTAAGGGTTTTATTTTTTTGTTAGGTTCATTTTCATCAACCCCCAGACGTTTTTAATCAGGTTTTGGTTGGGTGACATCGACAATCAGGGGAGAACCTGGACATCATTTTCTTCTTTTCAAGCTTTTGTGATTTTCGAACAATATTTTGAATTGTTGTTTGTTAAAAAGGTTTATAATAGAAGGCAGAAGGTCTGTTTCATACAGGGGTGGCATATATTGCATGTTAAGATTATGTATAAAGCAGATCAATCTGCCAAAGCCTGAAGAAGAAAATCAGTCCTATATATAAATTTTTGTTAGATGTTTAACAGAATAGATTAATTTTCTTTTTTTAGAGAATTGCCATGTCTTTTTTAGTCATTGATTCAGATAGAAAGTATTTTTGTCAATAAACATTACAGAATCCCAATCAAAATTCTTATGCTTCTTTGTATATGAAAGGTGTTTTTTATAATGCTTTTTCCCAAGCAAAGGCTTTAAGAGTTTTTTATAATAATAACCTTCACCTTCACAAAAATGCTATTAAATAGTGAATATATAAATATTGACATTCTTTTTTATCAGTTCACAATGGATTTCTGGGGCTGTAATGATTTTGTTTTCTTTTCCCAGCTTCAAAATCTATTTGTCTTATCTTTGCATAATGGCTTTTTTACAATCTAACCTTGGTTTGTTGCTTAAGTTCTTGGTTTTGTATCACTTTTTTATCTAATGATATATAGAACTTTCATTATAGTGAACTTGTTTTGCTGTTTCACAAATTAAAAGCTTAGAGCCTTTCAGATAGATGCTTAAAAAATGATTTTATATTATTTATATAAAGTAAGAGACATTTTTTTGGCTAGGATTTTATATATAATTGAAGCAGGTATTTTTATAATCAAACATGTCTAAAGAATATTAGTATAATCTGTATATGCAATGTACTATTGTAAATAAAATTTCATGTGCCTGCATATGATCTAGCGAAAGCTAAAGATGCAGAGAAACTTTTGTTAGGCACTATAATTGGCTAAAAATCATGTTCCCAACTACAGTCAATAAATTTACCAAAAATGAATATTAAAGATCGCACCTTTTATAGTATAAAGATGTTGATCAGAAGATTCTAGATTTTACTGTATATGATATTAACCAATCAAATTAATCAAAAAACCTTATATCAAATATACAAATAATATATAGTTTATTATTAGCAAAGCTATTAATAAAGTTTTATTTTTATTTTTTTTTGTTAATTAGTCTTTTTGAAACTAAGCTTTTTATTTAAGTTATTGGATAAAGAGGTTTATGACAGAATCTTCTATTACACAACTAGCTATATATACAACTTTTGGTTGCCTATTTAAGTAGTCTGTATAATGATATTATACTATAAAAATTATACTAAATATTATATCTATAATCCAGCTAGGAAATTATTTCTGTAATGCAACCTACTTGTATTATCTATTATATTTGTTTTTTTTTTTGTTTTTTTTTTTTTAACCTTTGCAATGTCACGTGAAGGTGGATTTTTATTAGATATTTTAGATAGTACATTATTGGTTAACGAAAATACATTCTAGCTATATCTGCACCTTTTGAGCATTTAATTAAGTAGCTACTTATTACTAGGGTCTATACTAGATGCCATATCTGTAACCCACTATTATTTGAATTACCCATTTAAACTTTCTGATGTCCTCTATCCTGTACTATTCACCACAATCACACCAGCACATAACCTCGTGCTGCTTCTTATTGAAGACCACTCAGATCGATATCTGCTATACTACTTGTACCCTAATTCTATAGATAACCCAGTAGGGTTCTCATACTATCAAGTTGCCCTAAGGAGGGTGTAGTACATACTTCCCTAATCTTTCTATATTTCACACACTTCCAGATTAGGCTTCAAATATCTTCTGCAGCAGCCAAAACCACCACTAGCAGTCAGGGTGAACCATTAAACTGCATAATTTTAGTATTCGGTACCCTTGTAAGGTTTGTTCCGATCTTGATACCCATATCAAACCAGTCCTTATACCGATTCCTCTCCAACTACCAAACTAGTTAGCTCAGACAAGTCATTGTATCTAGGCTTTAAGTACCTTCTGGTTTTACTTCTTTTGGTTCTTAATTTTGTAGCATAGAATCTTTTCCTCTGGTGTGACTCTGGCGGCCAGGTTGGTGGACCCTTCTTGCCCCAGAGTTTTTCATCCGGTTTTTTAGTCTTCAGTTTCTAGTTTTTTCACAGTATCGCCAAAAATCTTCACTACCTCCTTACTTGGGTCTTGCCAAATGAATTTAAATTATTCTAGTTCCTTAGATTTGGATTGCCCAAGAGCTTCTATTTCAAGATGGTAGTACCAAGATTACAGGTAATATATCTAACTGATCATCGAATAATTGTTACTGGTATACAGACTTATTTTTCTAAAAACATCTCTGGTGGGATTTAAACTCTAGACCTGCCGCTTGGAGGGTAACAACTTAACTACTACTCTAAGTCACCACACCCTTCCAACTTAACTACTACTCTAAATCACCACACCCTTCTATTATAATTATTAGTTGAGAAGTTTCAAAGATTTTCTCTATTTTTTTAAGACTCAAAGCATCATCACTAAAGCTTTTTATATTTACAATCTGGTTTTATTTTTTTTTTATTAAATTTTTAAATAATATATATTTTATTTCATTATTACTATTTTTATAATTATAGTATTTAATACAATAATTTAGTTTATATCATTAGATTATACTATCTTTATATATTATTAAATACTGTTTATATATTTAATAAGCAATTTGCAAGATATTTGAACAAAAATTTTTTTTATATATAAATTTTAATATAGTATAAGCCCAAAAATGCAGTGCCTCTATCTAAAACTTTTTTTTACTAAGTAAATCACTCTTAGACTTCTAACAAAAGTTGTAGAATAGTTAGAATATACTTGTCTGAAGCTTTCTTAAAAAAGACACCACATGATCCTACAATCTAATAAAAATGACAAGCTAAAGAGACTAAACTTGACTATAAAAAAAATAATAATAAAAAAAGTTGTAAAGCATAGGTTTGGGCCTATAGTTTAGTAGTAGAATTTTTTACTTCTGTAATCTAATAGGAGGCCATAATTGAATGCAGAACTCTGTAATTAAATCCAAATACAAGTACAAAACTGAAAAAGAAATTTCTGAAAGGAGGTTTAATTGCGAAGTGGTAGTACTTTGTATAATGGGTTATAGAAGGTTCTGTTATATAAAGATTGCATATATTAGTTCTTGATTAGGAGTAACCAGAGCAGCACCAACATTTCTAGCAGTTGGGATACTTAATTGAGAAAGTAATATAATAATAACAAAACTAAAGTAGTGAGAAAAGTAGTAAATATGAGTATGACTTTTGGTAAAAGATTAATCTATCTAGAGTTTAGAAGCATTTCTAACCTCAAACCACTTGGCCTATTAAAAAAAAACTTATGAGAACAGAGTAAGAAGGCTGAAGGGATGTTTTATAGAATAAGTAGGCAAATTTCGCAACTTCGCTATTAAACAATTAATGATTACTAA